AAAAGTCTGCAAAAAAACCCCAACAAAATGAGGAATGACTATATGAGAATATGTAGAGAAAAAAATGTAAGAAAATCTAAGAAAAAAATTCTCAGGTATTTTATCCCATATGAAGCTTGATTATTTTTTAATGCCAGCTCTATCTGAAAGACAAGTTATATAATGAAAATACGGGAAAAACCAGCTTTTTTTCTGGAAGGTAATTCATTAGGTGGAATGAAAAACTGATTTCTTAGGGGAAAAAAATAAAAAGAAGCTGATCATGCAAAGGGAAAACCCTTCTATCACAGAAGGAGTAGTGATGACTCTGAGAGACCAACACATTCTGTGCTCTCTAATAGTGACAAAAATTTCCCCAGGCCAAATTAAATTGCCAGGAGTATTGCAGGGGACTGGTCATGTATCCTGATTTTTAGCTAGTGACTGAAGTCCTCTACATCCCCTAATACTCAGTATTAAACAGTATGAATTAGTTCATGCCACACCATGCAGGATGGGATTTAGGAGGCAGTGTGCAAGGCAAACAGTGAACGGTGCCCTTTTTCAATGGAGATGTCACAACAGTCTCCAGACCAACAAGGCTTTCACCTTACATGCACATGCCTGACAGTCCACTTGGGCAGAAGCTGTGTTGTCTTAATAAGACAGAATCTTTCAGTCGCAACAAAAAAAATCAAACCAAACCCACAATTATGCCATTGAAACACTGCAGTTCAATTACTTTGCATGCTTGCCTCTGGTTAAAATTTTATTGAAGTGAGCAATCTTCAGGAGCTCGTATTTTGCACAGCAATCCGTGTTGCCAAGCAGCAGTTGGAAGAGCAGAAGATGGAGCAGAAAACCAAAAGACAATGCAGAAGGAATTTCAAAACACTGTAGAAGGGTGAGAGAAATCTCATGCCTAATTTGTTTTTCATAGATAATTGTTTATGATTGAAAAGCGTGGGGAGAAAACATTAACATTTGAGTTGGAACAAGCAGATTAAAACTTCCCTCTCACAGTGCTCTAAGTGTTAGCCTACCAAGACTGCAGCTGCATCAGGGTCTTGGCAGATCAGGGAGTGTCCTGGCATACATCTCAGCTGCCAGGCATGACACCCTGCCAAGGTGGGTGGCTCTGTGCTAAACAGGAAATGTCTGCATTTCACATCCCCATGAACGGAAGGAGGGTGGAGAGGGAATAGAAGGAGTGAAGAACAAAACACACAGCAAAGGCCTGCATATTTCATGAGGACTCATTTTCAATGGAAGTCCCTGTATAGAAAGCTCTGGTGTATCATCTTTCTGAGAGTGTGGCTGTAATATGAGACAGCACACAACCTTGGATTGTGTTATCACACACAGCAAATGCCTTTCAATGGTTTTGTCTCAGCAAGCAAAGGCCTTGACCCTGTGCAGAGTGCTGTGTGTCAGCCCTCACTGCTGGTGCACAGCAGCATCTTGTGCTTGTTGGTACCTGCAGCATTGAAATACCCCAGCCCATTTCCCCCTTTTATTCCAGCCTAGCTGGGCTCTGCTGCTGTGTCTGCTCCCCTGAGGTCAGAGCCTCTCTGCCCATCTCCCAATTCTTTTATATCACCTTCATTTCTCTAGAAAAGAATGGTCAGTATTTTCAAAGCTGTGCAGGTAGTCTGCCCTAAAAGTTGTGTGCATGTCTGGAGCAGACCTGTCAGTATCCTGGCTCTGCATGTTTATCAGTGGGGAGATTAACCCCTAATGCTGACCTTTTGGGGCAAGGTTCCAAAGGATGCACTCTAGTCAGCCTAGTACCTTTGCTTTATTTTCAGTTTATCATGCAGCTTATCACAGATTTAAACAACGCCATCATCCTTATTGTCCTCCACTGGAAGTTCTCTCAGTGGCCAAGAAAAGTTTGATCTCTCTAAATCTCTTAGTAAGGCCCTGACCCAATGCCTGTGGAGGTAGAAATGAAGTTCCCTCTTGCCTAAGTGAGCATTGGACTGGATCCTGGTCACCTTTTCTTTGTGGTTGAACTGGCCTGCAAACTGCTGGAAAACCTGGATTGGTTATTTCAACAGCCATAATGGTGCAGACTGAAGTTATGTTAGTAACTTATCAGCTAGCAACATCAGTGAATATGTTCAGATTATTTTCCTTTAATATGATACTAATTTATTGTTGAGGAGCATCATACTTGATTTTTTTATGTGTCAATAATTAAAAAATAGTGATTTGAATAAGAGACCCAGTGGTTCAATTAGAAAACTGTACTATGTGCTGGAAAAATAAAATTGAATAAAATGAAATAAAATGAAATTAAAAAAAATGCAGCACCATAACAGGAGATAACAGGTAATTAACTTTTAAAAATGCACTCAAATCTGTCATTCAGTTACAGAAGTTGTCCAAAATCTGGTGAATAACAAATCAAAATAATTGTTCCTCACTATTACTATCAATTCAATTAAAGTCTAAAACAACTTCTCATCATGACTATTCTGAAAGCCTTAAAAACTGCTGTATTTCAGCATTCCCATTCATGGTGTTAAGCTTCTAGAAATTCAATTGAGAAAGCAACCAAAAAACTGAAGCATAAACCACTATCAACTTTGTATTCCAAGAGAAAGACATTTCAAAGTTTTATATCGACATTAATCACCAGCTGTCAGCTAAATAGCTAAATAGGCCAACTCTAAATACACCAAGATTTCACTGCTGATATTTTGAATCTGCATTTAAATCACCCTTCACTCCCATTCCATAAGCCAGTGAATATTACTCCTATTTTCTGTGAAGTCATGTTCCTAATTTCTTCTGAGCCTGCACTGAGGTTATGTCCTGCATGGTATCAGAGGTTGTGCTGTTACAGCCAGATGTCAGCAGTGAAACAATCCCTGCTGTACTTTGGATATGATATAATAGCAAGATCCCACCTCCTGGAAAATATCTATTAGTACAGCAACTGTTGTCTTTATTTGTGGCCCAGGTTTTTCATTGTTCCTAAGCTTTTATTGATTTTTTTTTTTTACCTCAATGTTGTGTTTTGATTGCATAAATACATGCAGGGCCTCAGTTATGCATCTGGAGAGGTATTTGTTATTTATACTGCATGTGATCACCAGTGCAGTTATAAAACTTCAGTCACCGAGCCAGGGAGCAGAAATAGTCTCTCACAAGCTGAACATCCATTTGCACAGTGTGCTCTATGCACAGATAAAGCCAGGCTCTCAAAATGGGCACAGGCTGGATTGTGCCCTCAAAGATCTTCATACTCCTACAGAAGATACTTAAACCATAACCACTACAGCTGCAAGGGGATTGCCCTCCAAAAGAGACCCCTCAGCCCACCCCTCTTCTCTGCACCCAGTTTTGCTAGCTGGCTTCTCCAACAGCTGCTGCTCATACATTTTTTGTCCTGAAGAAAGGTGCAGAATGAGCAAGGCACCTGCCAGTGTGTGCGCTCTGTGGCAGAGACATGCTCAGCATGGGCAATACTCTAGAAGGAATGTGAATGCGAGCAGAAATGACAATGGCATACCATAGGATTGTGTCCTTTTAGGACCTGTGGCTTTTATGGTCACATATTTGAACAACGCGCATTTGATGCAAGATGCTTCTTAAAGATCTCACTCTATGTAAAATTTTGTCTACACATCATCAAAATTTTGGTTCTAAGTTGCTGCTCAGCTGTCTAAGGTGGTTCTAAAGTGCTGTTTGAAAGTTACATATAAGTACCCTTGAGATTTTTACTCCAGAAATCAAGGAGCAGTTTGCAAACCAAATTCTCATCTTTGAAAGTGTTAGTGGGACCTTTTGTACATGATGTGCTTATTTTGTGTCAGTTGTGATAACAATGAAAGAGAAATTGAACAGGTGTGGTACAGCAGAGAGAAAAGCCTTGATTTGACACCCTTAAACAGTTTCAATCAACAGGAACATTCAGCATCTTGCAGAATAATCCAATGTTTCCTAGTGCAAGTATTGATGGAGGACAGCTCACAAATTTGGAGTGGCACAGCAACCCCCTCTCTGATTGCGATTGCCACTGAGTACCTTTGCAAAGTGAAGAGGATGTGCCTGTGTGTTTGCACACCTGATAAAGAAACCCAGGCTCTGACAGTGGTCTGATTATCAACTGCACAGCTGAAGCCCTACTTAACTACAGCGGGTCTAAATAATTCATCATTGCACAGGCTGGAGCAGCAGTGACTGAGCCTTGCTGGGTAGAACAAGACTCACCTGTCTCCAGTGATTTCCCCAATCCACATTTTCAACTGTAGAGATAATGGTAAAGATGTGCACATAATAATTTTCTAATATGTAATAACTAAAAATTATGTTAAAAATAAAATAAGTGAAAAACCTTACAAAGAAACAGATATTTTCACAAGTGTTGTTGCATCTGGAGCATCTCTCTGTCTCTAGTTAACATATATTACATGGTTTTGTGTAGATTAATTCCCTATTTAAAGTATTGTTTCAATGAATAAACTAAGCACAAAGAGTTGTGCTGTTCTCTCTTCCATGTGAGGAGTTAAAACCTCTTTATTTTATGCTGGGGCTGCAATAGAGTTGGGCAGGTTCTTTCCTATCCTTAATGACTTTTTCTTCTGACATTTAAAACTTCCAATTAGGAATTTACTTTGGGCTGAACATCTGAATCATTAGGGTTGGAAAAGATCTCCAAGATCATCCTGTCCAACCTTTGACCAAACAGCAGCTTGTCAACTAAACCACAGCACTAAGTGCCACACTGAGCTGTTCCTTGAACCCTTCCAGGGATGGTGATTCCACCAGCTCCCTGTGCTGCCCATCCTAATCCCTGACCACCCTTTCCTGATGTCCAGCCTGAGCCTCCTCCAGCAGAGTTTGAGGCCATTTGCTCTTGTCCTGTTGCTAGTCCTGAGGGAGGAGACTGAGACCCACCTTTCAGGAAGCTGGGGAGAGTGATAAGGACAAGATGAACAGACCCATGATATTCTGAAACCAACTGGGAAAAAACACAACAAACAAACAAACCAACAAACAACCCCACTTACATGATGAGGTAGTCCAATCCTCAAAGTGCTGCACTGCTTGGTGTCCTCAGTATTGGAATTTGTCTCTCATTTTCAGCCTTCTTCCAAATATTCTAAAGTAGAGTAAAATAGAGTGGTTCTTAAAAGGTTGAAATAATGGTTGTTGAAAAATAAAAATATTTACTTTGTAAATTCAAAATTGCTACCATTCAAAAATGGTAGGAGGTTTATATCTGCCCCCAGCAAAGACACTAGAAAGCAGCTCACAGTGGGTGAATATTTTGAAGATTATGAGAATATGGGTTATTTTACCTACATAACCATTTTGTACTTGATTCAAAGGCTGTTTGTGTAACTGAAAAGCTTGAGCATATACTATATGTTGGCTGTCCTTTATGAATTTTGTTTGCTCTGGAAAAGAAAACAAGAGTAAATAAATACTCATTCCATCTTAATAAACCTATCAATAAATCTATTCTGTGTGCCAATGATCTTGAAAGTTCAAAGCCAATCTTATAAAAATTGTGCAGACATGACTTATTCCAAGATATTGTGCAGCTGAAATGCTGGGTCTTACCTCAATTCCATAAATCTAGAGTTATCCTTTTGTTATCATTTGCTCTTTCCACAGAAATAATTTGTTACAAATTAAGTTCTAACAAATTGCCTCATTATCTTTGCTGTACAATCAGTTCTTCCCGACTGCAGGCACAAACCTTTGGAAAGGTTTACAGAGATTGATGTGGTGCGTTGGATGTGCACCAATAAGCCAAGATTGCTACATGTGATTGTTTCATAACAATTATCACAGATATTTTAAAGACAGCTTTTCTCTCTTTTGGAAAATGTGGGCTGGAAAAAGAAGCAGCAGACTTTTAAACAGACCTTCTGATTATGACTTAATTATCTTTTCAGAGATATTTCCATTTCAGTCTGCACCTGTTTTTCTTAGGAAAAACAACTCTTTCCATTATTTTCTTTTGTTTTTCTTCCCCCTGTCTCTGGTCCCCCATTTTTATTTGTATTCCTCTTTTAGGGCAGAGGATAACCTCAAGCAGAGGGGCCACAAAGACTTTCTAGTAGCCATCCTGTGTTTACCCTCTGATGTCATGTGGGCTTTCAAGTGCTATTGCTCTCTTTCAGCCCCTAATCATCCCCTGACAGAAATATTTAGTGTGCACATTTATATTCTTTCCTCCAGGATACTCACTCACAAGACTGTCATACCCACCTCAAACAAAAATATGTGCCCTCAGGAGCAGGATAATCTCCTGAGTGAGCAAGCCCAGGGTTTGAAGAGTGAGTTATTCCCATGCTGACTCTGGCCACAGGATGTCAAACTTGCTTTAGCATTTTCAGGGAGCAATTTGCATAGCACCAGGCTTCACTGTAAAGGCTTTATTTTTTTTTTTCCTGTTTATCACAGTTTGCCTGCTTTAAAGGAAAAGATTTTGTTTCTGTCCTTTTTTTTTTATGGATTCTGCTGGATGTATATATTCTCTGTGATCCTCCAAGCTGTTGCAGATTAGCCAGACCCTTTGCAGCTGCCCAGGACCCTTCCAAGAGGATACCTGCAGCACTGGCCCAGGCACTGAGGGTGGCCCCTCAGTTCTGGAAATAAAATCTGCACTCTTCACCTGATTGTTCAAAAGCAGAGATAGATTAAAGGCTTTATTCATAACGTTCTGCCTGAGCTTTATAAGGAAAAGGGTCCACTGAGTTCAGTGGGGGCAAGATTAGGATGGAGCATTTGCACACTCTGAAAACAAAAGTGATGCCTGTAGGGCTGCCCAGGATATCCCCACACTTTGAGTGACATGGATTTCCTGCTGTGCACACATGCAAAACCTGCATCTCCTCAGTAGGGAAGAGAGCTTCATATTTATTTTATGCCTGGAGAGCCAGGCAGCCTGCTGGCTCCTTAAGATGCACATTAGATTTATGTCTTCCTCTAGGAATTAATGAAGCTGCAGGAATTATGATGAAAGATATGGAGTGATTTATGAATGTCCATCACAGTTAGTCATTTTGCTTGTTGAGGAGGTTTCCAGGTTTTATGAACGCTGCTTTTGCAGGTTCATTGCCTCGTATATATGAACAATAAATGTCCTGTTTCATGGTGGAAAAATGGCTTGATAAAAAAAAAGGAAAAAAAATAAAAGGCAATGTCATAAGGAGCATTTATAAACAGCTTCAGTGTGAAGCTGTGATCTGATAACAGCCATTCAGAAAAAACGAGGAACTGTCACCTGGAAAGAGTCCTTCAGAGCAGGGCAGTGATAGATAATAAAAACCAGTGCTCATATTGTGGGTTGGGAACTTGCTGCTTGACCCTACTTGCTATAAAGTTTGATCCTTCAGTCTCTGATCTTTCACACTTGAAGCCAGTGGGAGTTTTTTCATCCTAGCACTAAGCAAGTCCCAGGACTTCAGTGGAACTAGTCTTTGGCTCTGTGTGTCAAATGAAGCACGTGTGTGAAGGAGTGACATCAGAGAGCCAGAGCCCACCTGAATCAAAACATTCAACAGTGAACCATGGAGTGGAACAGCCTTTTGGTATTTGTTTTCACAGGGAGATAGATGGCTTTTGTAAGCTCAATATCTTTTTTTTTATCCCAAGGCAGGCACTCATTGCTTGTGGTCGTGTTTGCAATATTGTATGGGCCAAACAAATCCAGCCGTCCTCACTTTCACACAATGAATTTTTCTCCTAATTTAATGGGTCTGGGATTTTGACCATTTGCTGAGAAATAATCCCCGAAAGAACTGTTCTGTTGGCTAGGCTTGTAGTGACAATTCCTCACTATCTAATTATAGTCTCATTTTTCAGATTTGAACTACAGACCATATTAAAATAAAAAGAAAGTTAAACAGTTAAACTGTAATGAAAACACCATTCCATCTCTTATACTTCTTTCTTTCCTTTCAGCATAAATGGGATTGTGGTCTGGGTAGCATAACTAAAATATTGCATTGATTAGCCTTGCAAAGGAAAAAGACTTCCTGAGATACTTTTCTCATGCTTACAATAGAGCTTTTGGCATTGCTTATTAATTCTTTGAAATATGAAGTTGCATAAAGGCAAGTTTAGTAAGTAGTCCTATGTTCTGGATTTCCCCTCAGTCTGATGTCCTCAGGGAAATGAAACACAGCAGTGGGATCTGGAGGGTTTGGAAAAATTCACCATTCAAAATAGCCAAGCTCAAAACAATGTTCCTGGTAGGGGCAGGGCACAGCATGAAGATGGCTGATGCCTTCACACTTTGGTGTCAGTTTTTACACTGTTTACAGCACTTCTGGTGCCTAAGTGGCCAAATCACATAGAGCCTGATCTGGTTCTGCACAATGGTGTTCTTTGGAATCTGTTTGTGAAAGTGACTGCTGTAACCTAAGGGAAATTAATAAAAACCTAACCACTGCTACTGTGTTCTAGTTCTTTTAACTCAGTGGGCCTTGAAATATGTTTCTCTGAATTTTATGTTGCTTAATGAGAATTATTTTAATACCTAGATCCTAGTTCCGAGCATGAGGGTTTCTAGTCCTGGGATCTATTGGGGTAAGTAGTAGTGGATATTCATAAAATCTTACTTTGATTAAAACATGGTGTGAAATTGAGATATACTGTGAGTAGGATCAAATTGGATAAAACCCTCCAATAACTGTCTTTTTCTGTCAGCAGAACCATGGCTTTGTGTTCTCTGTTTTAGCTCCAAACTCTAGACTGTGAATAGGGCACTAAGTCAATGAGGCTTAGAAAGGATTTTTTAGATGAAAAAGTCATCTTTAATTTCAGTTATAGTGCCTGTTGATCCTCAGAACAAATATTAACTCCTCAAGAGATGCCATAGCTTTATGAACAGAAAAGCTCTTCTAAATTACATTATAGACTCATATAGTCCTTAACAAGGTGGCTTGAAAAGTTAGATGTGAAGAGCAGCCCAGATTCTGGTATTCAGAGTGATATATATTTTTTAGTTCTTGTGTTGTTGATGACTATGTGGCATTCCATGAGCTGGAGGTCTGAGTAGTGAGTTTCAAAACTGTGGGAAAATATCTGTGCCTTTGCAGCCTGGAAAGAACCTAAATGTGATGGAAATCTATTTTGGAGCTTAGGAATACCTACAAGACAGGGATCTCTCTTAGGAGTCCCACAGCTCAGTCCAGACAGGGCATAACTTGGTTTATAATGACAAAAGCAAACAAAATTAGATGTTTTACTAATTTGTTATATAGTAATATTTCTATTAGTTTAGTTCACAAAGCATATTTCTCTACATATACTAGAATCTTGATTTTTCCTACTATCAAGTTTACCATAACATTCCTGTCAATATTACTAAATCCTGTTGAGCTTCACCTGCAACTCCCTTAAAAAAGGCTTTTCTCGTATGTTGTGCAGGGCTGGGCCAAATTCATCTGGACATGCTGGTAATGTCTGCATTTTTGGCACTTTCTTTATTTTCTTCCTGGGGTCTAGGTCTTTAAATGAAGAGCTATTTTCCTTACTGACATTGAACAACAGTGTGAATTATTGTCAGTTGTATTTTGTAAACTATTGAACAGCATGAGGGGAAGCCTGATTTCCATCTTAAGAGAACTAGTTTTGGATATATAACAGCTGCAGGATGTAGTGTAACAATGTACACCTGTCTAACTGCAGCCCTTTCCTTTCCACATCTTCTGTCCTGCAATTTGTGATCTTTGTGACCACAAGGTCACTGCAGCTGAAATTCTGCCTTTTTTTCAGAGAGGTAATGGCATAGGTGAATTTGTTATGTTCTCATCCACTCTCTCACATACAAGCAGGAGATCCTATAACTGTTATTTCTTTCCATACTTCAGATAAATGTGTTCCATGCTGTCAGAGGCAGACTTTATAGACAAAAGTGTAATCAAAGCTACTGTAAAATAAAAGCACAGGGCAAGCCAACCTGCTCAGTAGTAGCAGCAAATTAAAGATGTGGTTACATTGCCTTGTGCTGCTTTGTGAGTAGATGCCACTTGGTAAGATTTCTCAAGAAAAATACTTACTAAGCTATTTCTAACCACTGAATTAATCTTAAAATATTGAATTATTTTTCAAAATATAGCATTGTGTTGGTCTCAAATGAAG